ATTTTCATGAATATTCTTTCTTTAGACTTAAAGTGAATTATTACCACATTGGCCGCTCTCGGAACCACTGAGATGCCCCGAGAGAACCTGTAGCAGGGGACAATTTCGTTTTAACTCAAAAACGTGCCGTGCGACAGCTCTTTCTACATGGATTTTCATGAATATTCTTTCTATACACTAAAACTTAATCATTTACCACATTGGCCACTCTCGGAACCTCCGGTATGCCCCCAGGGGAACTTGGAGCAGAGGACAATTGCATTTTTACACCAAAACATGCCGTGCGACAGCTCATTCTTCATGGTTTTTCATGAATAGGCATTCATTAAACTTCAAATGGATCAATGACCACATTGGCCGCTCTCGGAACCACTGAGATGCCCCGATAGAACTTGTAGTAGGGGGCAATTGCTATTTTACTCAAAAACATGCCGTGCGACAGCTCTTTCTTCACGGATTTTCATGAATATGCTTTCTATAGACTTAAAGTGGATCATTGACCACATTGACCTTTCCAGAGTCACTGGAATGCCCTGGGGGGAACGCACGGCATGTTTTGGTGTAAAAATGCAATTGTCCCCTGCTCCAGGTTCCCCCAGGGGCATACTGGATGTTTCGAGAGTGGCCAATGTGGTCAATGATGCATTTAAAGTTTATCGAAAGTCTATTGACGAGAAACCATGAAGAAATAGCTGTCGCACGGCATGTTTTGAGTGATTAAATGATCTGCCCGCATTCAAAACCCTTCACCAGAACCGATTCCAGGGAAATGACCATATCTCAGTTAATTATAAGCCGATTTTAGTTCTTGGCAGGGGTCTCATAGCCTAGTCAGTCAGCCGGAGGCCGCGGGTTCGATTCCCGGTCCGGTCGAGGGAATCTTTCGGGTTGGAAATTTTCTCGACTTCCCTGGGCATAGAGTATCATTGTGCTTGCCACACAATATACAAATTCATGCTTTGGTATTGGCATCGAAAGCTCTCAATTAATAACTGTGGAAGTGCATTTAGAACACTACGTTTGAGAGCACGCAATAAACTAATATGCGCTAAGCAATAAGCTTGAAAATGCGAGTAAGAAGAATGATTCGCTTTAGAAATGGTTCTTCTTTCATTGTACGTACTAAAAATATATATATTTAACCAGAATCATATATAAAATTTCACCAAAAATTTCGAAGGCTAGAAAAGCCCTCCGGAAACCCGGAGTATCTCCGGTATCCGGTGACCAGGATTATTTTCGTGGCTACACAGTAGAACAATATTAGTTTTCCAGTCAAATGCTCTTGGAAGATTTAAAATCGGATCATATTTGACGAAGTTACAACACTCCAAAGTTGACCAAAAATTTGTCTATCCTAGTTATTTTGAGTAGCCCCTGTACATATTCATGGTTCCATAAAAGACTCGAGTAGTGTAGTAATCAAGCGGTTTAGTCCGGTTTTGGCTCGCTCAGTCGAGTTGTTCGAGTTGCGCGTTTGTTTGCGTCGTAGTGCCGGTCGTATCGTGTGATGGGAAGGCAGCGCTCCCGGAGAAAGCTCCGTGAGAAAGTGGAGAACAGCTTGTGCGTACCTATCACAAATAGGTACGCTTCTCAACCCACCGATGTTGGGAATTCCCCACTAGCGGAGGTGAAGCGGACGAAGAAAAGGAAAAGAACCAGGGCCAGTCCGATGGTGCAAGTGGCCGCGACATCGGTGATTTCGGCGTTACCGTCGATCATGAAAATTCTGCCGGTCATCATCAAGAAGGGCATCAAGTTTCACACCCTGCTCCACATCCGTACTTCTATCATCGAGGCCCTTAGTGTGGAGGTGGAATCGCCAACCGGAAACGTCCTGTTCATAGCCGTGTATTGTCCTCGCCAGTGTGCGGCCAGCAACGGACTAAGGAAGAAATTCAACAACGACCTCATCGCTATCACTCGCACGAGCTCCCGATTCATTGTTGGGGGCGATCTGAATCTCCAATGCTGAAGCATGGCGCAACTACCAACGGAACCAGAACGGTAGCCTACTATTTGACCACTCGCAGCATGGGCTATATACAGTGCAATTTCCGGATGAACCGACATCCATCTCTCCGGCGGGAGACCCTTCCAACCTGGACTTATTCTTGACGAACTTTGGGCTACCCAAGCCGTTGGCTATCAACGATTTAAGCTCCGACCACCAACCGGCCAGTTCCAAAGAACCGAAGATCTAAGGGAGGAAACGTGAAATGGCCAATCTGAACAAGGAGATTGCTTTCAGAATGGTCTCACTCCGAAACGAAAGTTTCGTGGGCCTCGTCCAGAATCTGGATGACCGCTCCAGACCATTCTGGAAAGTTGCCAAGGTCCGAAAGACGCACCACTCAAAGATGAATATGATGACGAGCGGCTCATAATCACCCCTCAAGAGAAAGCAAATGCGATTGTTGAGCATATTTCGAAATCGCACTTGCTTGGCTCCAAAATCCACAATCCGCTCGAAGTTCAAGTTGAGCAACGCGTACTCAACTTTGATTCTTCCTCTTGTGCTATCCCTCCGGAGGATAGCCCTAATAAATAAATACCATAAACGAACGATAACCCAAATTGTTGAACTTTTCCACAAATGGTTTGGATGATACCCCAAACACGTCGTTAAGCAAAATAACCATACAAATTTTATTAGGGAGGCCCCCGGGTTTGACGGAATATTCAACTTGGTATTGAAGAAGCTGAGCACGAAAGTGTACTCGCTTTTGACTGCTATCTTCAACAGATGCTTGGAGCTGCACTACTTTCCAAGCATCTGGAAGATAGCAAAAATCATACCAATCCGCAAACCCGGTAAGGATCCATCACTACCTTCCAGCTATAGACCAATCAGCCTCCTTTCAGCGCTGAGCAAATTGTTCGAGAAACTAATTCTCAATCGTTTGCTCAAGTTTGTCGAGGAGAACAACATTCTCCTACCTGAACAGTTCGGGTTCAGGAAGAGGCACTCCACAAATCACCAGCTAGTTCGGGTGATGAATAACATTCTAAGTAACAAAGCTGTATCCAAGTCCACAGCAATGGCATTGTTAGACGTTGAGAAAGCGTTTGACAATGTCTTGCACAATGGGCTTGTATACAAGCTTTGTAACTTCAACTTTCCTTTGCATCTTGTTAAAATCAAAGGTCGTTCAGGGTATCGTTGAATGGCTGTCTTTCAAACACGTTCTCCATCCCAGCAGGAGTCCCGCAAGGCAGTCTGCTGGGCCCCTTGCTTTACAACGTTTACACTTCCGACATTCCTCCCCTCGGAGACGGTTGCGTGTTTTTCCTGTTCGCAGATGATACCGCAATAGACGTCAAAGGAAGGATGCCTCGAGAAATAACGAACAAACTTCAACGATGCCTTAACGCCTTTGCTGATTACGCCAACACGTGGAAAATTAAAATCAATCCCTCCAAATACAAGCATGTTCCTCCATCGGCAATCGCCCAAACTAAAACCGGCTCGCTCTTGTACTGTAATGATGAATGGCACAAGGGTTGAGTGGTCTGCCGAAGTAACCTATCTCGGGATGTTGTTTGACGAAAAGCTCCTATTTCGCTCGCATGTGGAGAAAACCGTAGTCAAGTGTTCCGCCTTGGTTAGGTGTCTGTATCCGCTGCTTTGCCGCAGATCCCGCCTCTCAAGGGTGAACAAACTGGCTGTCTACAAACAAATTATAGCACCTGCGGTCCTCTACGCAGCTCCGATGTGGTAATCATGTGCACAGACTCACAGTAAGAAAATCCAGGTCGCTCAGAACAGAGTGCTTAGGATGATCCTTGATCGTCCCTTTGACACAAGAATTTCAGACCTTCACCAAGAGGGGAACATTCCTAAATTAGATTTCAAAATTGATGATATTAAGACTAGGTTTGTGCAGAAATGCAATACATCAGAACATGCTTTGATAAGCAATTTGTATATAGTAGGTTAGGTGTATATGTATAGTAGTTATAGGTTAGTTGTAGTTGTAAATAGTAGTTATAAATAGTCTCATTTTTCCAATTCAAAACAAACCAATCCCACCAAGGTGGTCATACTCTAAAGCAGACCTGATAGGACTAGGAACTGTGAATAATAATAATTAAAACTTCAAAAGTACTAAAGTAGAAAAGACGCATCTGTGTCACTTGATAATTCATAAAACTGTCCGAATATTCGATCACATCCCATTTTTAAATTTATTTACCAGTCGAATTGCTTTTTGACGTAATCACCTTCCGATCAAAATAGTTTTCGATGTTACTTAAGTCACCCGATTTCTATGGAGATGCCGTTTGCCTTAAGTAACAGCACTGAGAAACCCGTGAAAAGTGTACTTTCGTCGTTTCGCTTTCTCATTATTAAAGTGAATAAATCGAACTGTTTGTTGCTAAGATGATTTCGGTGGTCCTTAAATGATGAATGGGCTGCACGTAAGGAGACGTAATTGATAATTCTCCCGAATATCCTGGTAAATACACTTTGACTTAAGTACCAATAGGGGCCACCAAACGACGTATAATAACTTTTGACTCAAAAACCAGTATTTCTTAGCATGAAAGCTAGCGATTTGCCTTTGTATGATTAAAACCCGGCTAAATATGTTAAACATTGCTATCACTATGAGATTATATGTGTTTAATTGGAAATAGGAATAATTTTTCGCAAATGTTACTTACGACATAATGAAAATTTGCTCTTGAATTGAATATTACCTGCTCCCTTCTTAATGGATCCACACACGGCGCTCATGCGCTTTACCGGCTTCCCTCTCTTCCCTCCCGATCAATCAAATAATTGTTTAGAACGGTAACCAAAATAGAACAGTTATAACTGTACCGTAAATACACAACCCCCATGAAAATGCTACAAAACGAACCAAAACCAGAAACGTCAAAGCTGGAGACGTATGTAGTGTTTTCATCATCAAATTTTTGCTGGCGGTCTTGAAAGCCGTCCAAAAGGACAACACAAAGAAAAAAAATTTGCTCCTCGTTAATTTTCCCGTTGCTCACGTTGCTCGTCATCCAGTTACGAAAACTTTCTGTAATTTAATTTATATTTCTTTTCCAAACCGTTGCCAAGTACTGCTTAGGCGAAATGCTAAAAGCAATCATTCTCATCGGAGGACCCGAAAAAGGTACGTTTGATTGAATTTCAGCAGAGCCGAAATTTTGTTTACCTTTATGCGTCATCAATGTTTTCAGGAACCCGGTTCCGCCCACTTTCGCTGGACACCCCAAAGCCGTTGTTCCCGATCGCGGGAAAGCCGGTCATTCAGCATCACGTGGAAGCCTGCGTTCGCATCAAGGAACTCAAGGAGATTCTGATCCTGGGCTTCTACCCGTCCTCGCAGATGCAACAGTTTGTCAGCAACATGCAAAATCTATATGACGTCAACATTAGGTACCTGCAGGAGTTTACCTCGCTGGGGACGGCCGGTGGCATGTATCATTTTCGAGATCAGATCCGATCCGGCAATCCGAGTGCCTTCTTCGTGCTGAACGGTGATGTGTGTGCCGATTTCCCGCTGCCACAGCTGTACGATTTTCACGTTAGCAAAGGGGAGAAGGCGCTGGTGAGAGATTCCGGAAAGTACGATTTTAAATGGGTGTGGTTTTACGTAGGGATTTTTTTTTATTTTAGGTATCGATCATGGGAACGGAAGCAACCCGACAACAAGCGGTGCACTACGGTTGCATGGTGCTGGGAAAGAACGAAGAAGTCACCCATTATGTGGAGAAACCCCGCTCATACGTGTCGACCCTGATCAACTGCGGTGTGTATGTTTGCTCGATAGAGCTGTTCTCCCGGATGGGAACCGTATTTCACTCGAAACAGTTGGACTACAATTCGCTGAACAATGGCAACGGGAAGGATTTGGGGCACATTCAGTTGGAACAGGAAATTCTTACACCACTGGCCGGAACAGGAATGATGTTTGGCCTGCCGGTGAGCAAATGGTGGTCGCAGATTAAGACCGCCGGATCGGCGATCTACGGCAACCGGCACTATTTGGCCCTGTACAAGAATACACATCCGGAACGGTTGGCCAATGCCGGCCTGAAGGCTTCGGAGCATAGCAATGGAAGTCTGGTTTGCAACATCATTCCGGACGTACACATCCACCCGACCGCGTCGGTACATCCAACGGCGACTGTAAGCGGTTTTGGACTTTCGTTGATTGCTGTTAAACTGCCTAACTAAACATGTCACTTTTCCAGCTTGGACCCAACGTATCGATAGGACCGGGAGTGGTAATCGGTCCCGGTGTTCGCATCCGCGAGTCAATCATCCTAGAAAATGCCGTCATCAAGGATCATACGCTCGTTTTGCACAGCATCGGTAATTGTCAATTCTATAAACCGTAACTCCGGATCAGCTTATCCTCATTATATTCTCCCTTACAACAGTGGGCCGTAGTTCCCAGATAGGAATGTGGGCCCGCGTCGAGGGAACTCCCAGTGATCCGGACCCAAACAAACCGTTTGCCAAGATGGAGAACCCCCCGCTGTTCAACAACGACGGCCGGCTGAACCCATCGATTACGATCCTGGGCTACTCGGTAAGCGTCCCTTCGGAAATGATCCTACTCAATTCGATCGTCCTACCGCACAAGGAACTGAGCCGAAGTTTCAAGAATGAAATAATTTTGTAACCTATTTAGTACCCGATAGTGCATTGTTTTTTATTATTATGTTGTTTTAGGATTTTAGACAAAAATCGAATTCACTCTTTCTTATTCAAGTTTGTGCCAGATGCTCTAATAAAGCGAATTTTAAATATTCAAAGCAAAAACGACAAACCACCTACCTTATTATAATTGGTGACCTCCACGAGTTGACATTTGGCTGTATGTGCCTTTAGGCTCTTTCTGTAGCTGAAACTTTGGTTGCAAACATGGCAAGCGAACAGTATCTCCCCACTATGGACCCGTTGATGAATGCGATAGCTGCGCTGATATTTGAAAAACTTGCCACATTCCATGCATTGGTAATTCTTCTCGTCTGAATGAACGCTGTAATGGGTCTGAAGAGCGCTCCTTGAAAAAAGAACTTAGATATTGAAACATGTTTATGAAACCTGAATGACTAGCTGGAATTTACCTATAATAGAAACCCTTTCCACAGGTACCGCACGCAAACTGTGGATCTCTGTGCCTAACGGCGTGTAAATTGAGGGAGCGCTGTGATCGGTACCGCTTACCACAGATGTCGCATTCGTGCTTCTTTTCCATGGGATGTTCCGAAAATTGATCCGTTTGCAAATTGGTCACCTCGAAGCAAACCTGTTCCTGTCCTGGTTCGGACACATTTACAATCAAATCCACCACCGGTTGTCTTTCGTTGCCTTGGGTAGCACTTCCCGATGGCTCATCCGCCATCAATGCTGCATCGCAGCGCATTTTGAAGTCACAGAACGCATCGAAGGCCTCCCAACATCGGTCGCAGCATTTGGAAACTTTAGTCGGGTCAACTGCCTTGGCGAGAACAAACTCCATTCTCAAACGACGGTATTCGTTATCCACGTTAGGATCCGAGGGGGGTGGCAGCTCCTTCTGGTAAACCATAGAGCAAAAGGTACACAGGTCGCCAACGATGGCGTCAGTTGCCGGTTCGGAAATAGGTTCGAATTTCGCTGTAGGCGTGTAGAGTTCCATTAGATCCTCCTTGATTGCACATTCCGGCGACCGGAGACCTACACCAGAAAAACGAATGAATTCTCCTGATTTGAAGTTTATGTAGCTTCCGGCATCCTTACCTTTTGGCAATGATTGATTCGATCGATTCGGTATGTTTTGAACCCCCTTAGCTTCTTGAATACGCTTGCGGCGCTTCTGTTGGGATTGTTTGTTTTTCAGATGGAACATGATCGGTCATTGCTGCATATTATGGCAATTGGGTCATATAATGCTTTATTATTATGTTAACATCAAACAGAATGTGAAATTATGTCAATGTTCAAATAAATAATAAATTATTTACGTTTTTCACAAAATCGTAGAAACAAACACGACTGTACACAAACGAACCTTGCAGGTCCTTTTCTTCACACTAAGAACAGACAACCCAAATGTAGGCTTATAGTTTACCCAGATAAGGCATAAACCGGTAAAATTCAGAATGATATTTTTTTATATCCGAATAAGATAACGGCGCCGGTGGTGTAGTGGTAAGCATGATTACCTCTCACCCCAGCAGGCCTGGGTTCAATCCCAGTCGGCGCCGCCGGGATGTTCTGAGGCATAACATCTCTGATCACGCCTTCCTTCGGATGGGAAGTAAAGCCGTTGGTCCCCGGTTCATGAGTTGATGGGTCGATAGGTAGGGTCCAGGTGTGGGAGCTGCCTCCCTGGCACGTCGGTAGCATTCACGGTGTTTCACGAAAACCCATTAATGGGTATAAAAATACCCATTTCCGCTAAAAGTGCTCCTCCTCATTTAATGGGTAAACTATGGTTTACTCATAAATGGATGGGTGGTCTGTCAATAAATGGGTGTTTTTTCACCCATTTTCTTATATTGTGTTTACCGTAAAATGGGTGAAAAAATACCCATTTTTACAAATGGAGGATGCAAGCGCTTGTTGATGTAAAAATGTTTTTAAAACATTGAAAATAAATGCAGGTGTTCCGCTCAAATTTTTCTCGAAACATTATAATACAAATTATCCATTGTATTGACTTATCCGTAAGCCTCTCCAACGTTTTGGATTCTAACATTTTCCGGAGGTCGTTGCTGCGGACAGTAACTGTTTGCATCGAGGTTTGCATTCCCAATGAGCCGGTGACGGAAATGAGACGATAAAATTTCGAAGTGTTTTTTCACCCATTAATGGGTAAAAAATATACCCATTATTCAACCGTGAACTGATTCTTTAAATGGGTATTTTTTCACCCATTTTATGATTTCAAAATTCCCCCATTTTTGACAGCTGCATACATGGTTTGAAAATGGGTATTTTTATACTTATTAATGGGTTTTCACGAAATACCGTGTTAGTGCTCAGCACGGAAAACAAGATCGACGGAAAAAACAAACCAAAGGAAAAAAAAAGGTTTGGCAACCCGCAATTTTGTGTTTGCTTCGAGTGACTTTTAATTTGAGCGATTATCTTTTTAACCGTTTCGATACTATTTAAAAAACCATTTTTGGCAACACTGAGTGAAGCCAGATATACTTCATTGGAGAGGATATTTTACAGAGTTTTGCAATCTGAGATTCATGCTTCCTACCACAAACGAAGTGACAGACGACTAACTGGCGAAGAAAATCAATTAAAATAATGTGGTTCGCTGTAATAGAACTTTCTTAGAAGCTTGTGCCATCAGCCACCAGATGGGCTAGTATTTTTGTTTTGATTTGAACATAGTTGATTGTGTGTGCAATATGATCTTTGACAGTGTGCAAAGAGTGTATAATCATAGAGGTAACTCTAAGACCACTGGGTCCCGAAGAAAATCATTATTATTTTTGGCTCACTCAGTACCAGAACAACGGTCCCAAGCAGTCCCAAGCTATTTCACTCACCGCTGCATGTTCTGCATGAATCCACACACCCCTGATGTTATCTGTCAAACTTTCATAGCGAATCAAAGCAAACATAGTGTAGTAATAGAATTTCAACTAAAATAGGGTACGTTAATCGTTTGCTTGGGACCAATAGGCTACTAAAGTGGTGAGCCAATTTAAAATCGTTAGTTTCGTATTGATTGTTGGTGTAATGTTGTCATTTTTTTATGCATTTCAATTTAGAGTAGAGTGAAAGAGATAGAACCAAAACATTCTAGTACATTTAGTGTTGCCATGTGGTACAATCCATTAGTAGTCTTGCCATGTGGTACAATCCAGTAGTAGTGGTATTGCCATGTCACAGACAAACAGACATAACACTCGCAAGTTGTTCATCGAACAAGCATTCAACGAACTATTTAAAAGTATCGTAGTTGGTAGTACCGCCACCTCTGGCGCGCATAGTCAATTAACTTGCGTTTGACGTTTACACACTACCGCCATCTGTTCAGCGGTGTGCCCACCACAGTGTACTCAACAGATGGCGGTAATGTTTTAACGACGATGTTTTACAGTGAGAAATATTTAATGTGTTATGTCTGTTTGTCTGTGGCCATGTGGTACACTGAAAAATTGCAATAGCAGGAGCGTCACCAAAGTTTTCGAGCTGCTCCGTCTGTCACTTCGTTTGTGCTTCCTACCCTGCATGAATGAAATCTCGATTTATTTTTGGAATGGACGTATCTGTTAACATTACTGTGGGTGAGCTACCAGTTACGCCAAACCGACGATCAAATGCATTGTTTGCAAAATCAGATACGTCCATTTTAAACGTAATCGAAAAATCTGTTATAGTAATTTTTCCCAAATTCACTATCTTGACAGATTACACCGGAAACGCCTTGATCAACTCTACAGGGCCTCTGTATCTATGTTTTTCGTTGCACTGGAGCGCATATTTCGTGAGAAAATAACAAGAATACAGCTGTTTTTTTTTTGTTTTTTTTTTCCTTGTTTTGTTTTCCGTCGATCTTGTTTTCCGTGCTGAGCACCAATGCTACCGACGCCAGCGAGGCAGCTCCCACACCTGAACCCTACCTTTCGACCCATCAACTCATGAACCGAAGACCAACGGCTTTACTTCCCTTCCGAAGGAAGGCGTGATCAGAGATGTTATGCCTCAGAACATCCCGGCGGCGCCGACTGGGATTGAACCATAGAGGTAACTCTAAGACCACTGGGTCCCGAAGAAAATCATTATTATTTTTGGCTCACTCAGTACCAGAACAACGGTCCCAAGCAGTCCCAAGCTATTTCACTCACCCCTGCATGTTCTGCATGAATCCACACACCCCTGATGTTATCTGTCAAACTTTCATAGCGAATCAAAACGAACATAGTGTAGTAATAGAATTTCAACTAGAATAGGGTACGTTAATCGTTTGCTTGGGACCAATAGGCTACTAAAGTGGTGAGCCAATTTAAAATCGTTAGTTTCGTATTGATTGTTGATTGAACCCAGGCCCATTGGGGTGTTAGAAAGCAGTCACGCTTACCACTACAACACCGAAGCCGGCTATCGCGAAGATTTCGTGTTTATTTACATTGCTCGATTGGAACCGCGTTTGACGGTTCGATTGGAACTTTTGGCTTCAGTTTTCGCGCGTCTCATCCCGCACAAACGCGAACCATAAATTGACCTTACCTAAAATGGTTAAAAATTGTTTATAATCCCTGCTAAACTTTAACTGAAATGGTTATAGAACTTTACATGAACGTTTAATGATAAAGTTTCAACCTTATGTATTATGGTTTTTTGGAACTGGACCTTACAAATAATGGGTTGTTACCATTACCATTCCAAATTCTTGTTTTCTCCATACATTTTCAGAAAGAGAACTATATAAGAACGTTTTTACTTATGATTTGAGAACATTAATGGTAATGGTTATGGTAGTCAGTAAGGTCCATTAATGGTTTTGTATTATCGCTCAACTTTACGTGGAATATATCGTGAATTGGTAATCAGTAAATTACAGGCAACCAATTCGCGATATATTCCACATAAAGTTGATCAATTTTTAACCATTTTAGGTAAGATCAATTTATGGTTCGCGTTTATGCGGGATATTAAACATCGCCTCTATTGGTGACCATTTACATTTGGAAAGGGCCAATCCTCGGGCCAATCAGCCCTCCCGAAGTTCGGTCACGCCTCGGGCCCAAGGGGAGTGGGGGGGGGGGGGGCGAGGTGTCGAATACGAACAACCGTCGCCTGCCTCGCATAACTGGTTCCAAACGTAAACAAGCCATAAGAAACCTACAGGGTTTGTTTACGATTGGAACCAATTTCATACAAGAATGATCAGTAGGCTGATTTGACAGCACGTCCCTCCCCAGTAGACAAACTGACTCTTTTGCGTTGGAAGTATTGTTATCGAAACAAGAGGAAACTTTTACAACCCAGGTGAAGTCATCCGAGGTGTAAACACAAACAAAGGTTACCAAAAAAATGCTCATTGTTCGACATCAGTGTTGCAAGCTTCACTCTGCGTAACTCTTCTATTATAAACTCTGGTCCGTTAGAAATACTCAGAGGGAGAGATGGGCGGAGAAAACAAAATACAATTCGGCCGCAGGGATTTGTACCTAAATTATCTTGCAACCCTTGCTAGAAGCTAGCATTTCACACGAGTTTCACATGACTTTTACTTTACCAACTAAGATCAATTAATCAATAGAGTTAGAATTTTGTTTTTGATTAAAAAAACTAGTTGAATTTGAGAAGCACACGAAACATAAAGGTGATTGAATTTCTATTCGATTGCAATACTCTCAAATTTAATCTAGTAAGAAAAAGAAATCATCGGAAAAATTCTAATAGGAATGTTCGATTGGCTCAGATTTTGACAGTTCATTTGGCTCAAAACATTCTCTCCGCCTATCTCTCCCTCTGAGTATTTCTAGCGTAAACCAGATAAACTAAAGTGACTAAAGTCCTCTAAGTAAAACCAAAGAAGAATACTAAGATGAAACTGTCGGAAGAAAAACTTTCTATTTAAGTGTCCTCTTTCACGGTCCCTTTCATCCAAAGAATACCCCCCTATGCAAGGTAATTTTGTGGATTTGTTGCCCCCTCGGTAGAGATGAAATTTTGCGCTTTTTTATCAAAACCTTGATCAAAACAATCATACCAAAATCCAGTGTTGGCAAAATCAGAAATCAATTGATATTTTTCCGCTCTCATGCGCTCGCAATATCACGCGTGATATTGGAACAAAATATCATGATTGATATTGCGAGACTATTCACAACGTGCAAAAATCAAGCTGAAAGTTGAATCGACCCAAAAATGATTCCGTTGCACATCGTTTTCTTAGAAAGAAAAAGTATAGTTTGCTATCTCTTTTTACTCTTCACCGATGGCAGATACGAAGTGACTGCTGCCAGCCGTTATGGAAGTTTCGATTGCATTCGGGTGTAAAGCAAAAATCATGAAACTCATTCTCACCACAGTTTGTTGAGATTTAC